TGTTCCTTTGATGATCTTTTTGCGGCCTCTTTTTATTTTTAAATAATAACAGAAGTCGTCCTCTATTCGGCTTAACACGTACTAATTGAATATCTCGGCTAATCCTAAGTTGAGGTTCAATTGGCGATTTAGTTTGGCTATGCTATTTATTATCCTATGTGTATTGGTGGAAACTTGTGTTGAGTAGAGTCTGGTTTGCCTAAAGAGTTCACAAATAAGAGGTTGACGGGGAAGCGTAACCCTCGTTCAATAATGGATGTCATGGTGAAGGGGCAAAATCCTTCTTGGTCCCATGGAAAGATTCCTTCTTTAGCCAATTCAATATTTACGTCAGCTGGAATGCTATAATCCTTTTAGAATTCTTCAATGGTTCTTGGGGAACTCACCATGAAGTGGTATTTGCCCATGAGCCTAGTTTAATGTATTGAATAATTCAATTTGTTTGCTCGGTTAATCAGCACAGTGCCAATTGGTGTTACGATAGCTTGGTTGTGAAGAGTCGCCAAGTGACAGTGTTGGTGTGTGTTGTCTGTCCTAGTTCGAAGGTTGCATGGTGGAGAGATGAATACATTATTTTCAAGTTGCAGACCGGTTGGGTGAATGTTAAAGTTTAGACCAACTTTTAGGCATGATTTAATAAAGTTTAGCCCAATTTTTTGGTCATGATTTAACAAGGTTTAGCTCGGTTTTTGGGCGTGAATTGATGTATCTCGACTCGGTTTTGAGCGTGTCATTGGAAAATAGCTCGGTTGGCGTCTAGTGCATGTTTTTATCTCGATCTTTGCGTGATAAGAAAGTTCTCCAGTTGATTAAGAAACAAATTGTTGTTCAGTTTCATGACCCTTAAGGATTAAAACTCTAGCTATGCACAGTTAAAGTCCAAATCGAAAGAGTTCATCATCCGATTTAGATTCCAAGTTTTGCAAATGGTGTGTTAGAGCGAGATTATGGAGTTAGTAAGGCCTTAATTTCATTCGTTTGAGTTTAAAGCTATAAATTGTTCATTTATGGACTAAACAAAGGTTGATTCGAAGACATTTCAACAAGAACTCAAAGAACTCGAAGAACAATAATGGAAAGTCAAAGAAAACTTGCAAAAGCTTACTGTTTGTGATGCGAATTTGGATTCCAATCAAATAGAAACATTCCAATGAAGATGGTGATTTGAGTGGTGAATAGAATCGATTGAAATGATTGAAAAGATGGAGATCTTGCTTTGGTGCACTGGGTTTAACAGTGTATTCGAGGATGAACAGTGAAAGACATGTTTGTATGTTTTGTCTCTATATATAAAGAGAGGAAAAGGCACCATGATTTGAATTTTTGAGAAACGTGCATAATAGCAGGAGTAGTTGCACGGATCCATTGGACGGGTGCCATATGTCCCAGAAAAGACGTAATGTCAAGGTGGTTGGTGAACATACCGTAAGGATGGCTAGACCGTTTCAGACTAAACAAACATTGTAGCCATCAGTTGAATAGAATAGATTAGCTCGATTTGAAAGAGTAATCCTAATCATACAAACACAGATGGAATTAAGGGACAATTGAGAGGGTAATTTGCGTTGTGCAAATAGGCCAGGCCAAGTTTGTATGGATCTTGGCTTTGGGCCATGCAAACAAGCCGAGTTAAGTTTGCGTGCAAATGAGCCGAGCTAAATTTATATGGACCTTAGGTTTGGGCCGAGTTAAATTGACTTTGTCTTGCTTTCCACGTTATTTGAAGCTGAAATAGCTTTGTGACCGTGCTATGGAAGGTCGGATAATGGTTGGCAGGTTATGATGCGGCGGAGTTGGCCACATGACCGAGGCAAACTACTGAGCCAAGTCTTGTGTCTCAGGTTAGCATAGCGTAAAATGTTGCTCGATAGTCTTAAATGCAAGCAAGGTTCTTTCAATATGGTTGCTCGGTCTTTGATTAATTGGAATGGTGTTCTTAGCCTGATTGCTGGGCTAGGAGTTATGTTGTTTTACTTAAACTTTGGAGGTAAGGGTGTTAAAGGATAGGTATTATCCTTTAAGAGATGGACTTTTGATAGAACTTTACGAAGAGAAATTAGAGTCCTACTAGGGTTCTATCGTGTGGAATATATAAAACCTCAAAGGTAAACCCTAAGGAGATGATGTAACTTTACTTACTGAATTTCTAGAAAGCTTTCCCTATATTAATCTTAAGCATCAGAGGGGTTTTCCAGTACACACCCACCTATACGACGCTGTTCAAGGAGATATAAGCTTCATCACAGGGAGTTTGCATACGACGAATATTTTGTGCTCGTAGTGCACCAAGGCCGACAACTTTTTGTAGTTACCTTAGAATTTGAAGGAGGCATCCATGGTCATTTTCACATATGGGTTTGGTTTATTGTTGTTCCATTTCTAACAGAGGCCGGATGGATATAGAGATTAAGCTTGAATGAAATACAAAAATAAAAAGAAAAAACTAATTGATACACCAATGAAATCTTAAGAATTATCATTTTGAAAGAGAGAGGTGTAAAAAATATTTAATTCTGGCAGATATAAAGATATTTCTTGCCTAAGCTTCTTTTTTATTTTGAAAGCAGCGAAAGATGTTTATTATGTAAGTTTTTTTATAGTTCGTAGGGTATTTTGGTCCAAGAAATTGATAAAATGCGTGGGTATTTTGGTTAGGGACCTGAGGCAGTATTACATTTTTTAATGTCCTTTATGCAGAAAATTGTTATTATTAGGGAGCTTAAAAAAAAACCCCCTATTTTTATTATGGAAAATAACTCCTTAAGTCATGTGTATTTTGAAATTTAAATCCCTAAATAATAGGTGAATTCAATAAATTCTTTGTTGACTATAATTTTAAATTTTAAACTTAAAATTTTAATTTTTAGCCACAAATCAATATAATTGGATTGGAGTTTTGAAATTCGTAGAACTCTTAAAATTAAAAACCCTATTTTCCTTAATATATAGTATAAATTAATTTTTTTTTCAAATCTAAAAAAAAAAAAAAAAAAAAAACTTTTTACATTTTAAATTATTACTCGCTCATGAATCGATCATGTATGTCTAAAAGCTAGTATGTTGCACACACAATCGTGTGCTATGAAACTTAAAACTGAAGCAATTGAGAGATTTAAAAAATAAAAGTAAAAAAAACACTGAAATAATTTTGTAATTTGATTATAAGTTTTTTATTTCTGATATACTTAAAAAAAATTATAAGTTTTATGTAATAATATAGATATAGAGTGGAACCATCTACACAGTTCTTTTAAGACAATATAAGGATAATATTCAGTCTCTTTGCATTGGTGAATAAAATAAAAAATTATCATTTTTACATATTTTTTATTTTTTGAAAACTATAATAATTTTTGCAATTTTAAAAGAAACTCACACATAAGTTAAATTTTAAAAGTTTGGGGACAATAGCCCCAAACTCTATTGTTTTGGGGTTGAAAGGCCAAAATATGATTTGAAAGACCATATTAATCTTATCTATCTATGTATGCAATGTTCACTTATTTGTGGACATCACATATTTATTTATGTCATCTATCTACTTATGTCACCTATTTATCTACGTGTTATTTCTTATTTATCGACACATCTATCTTTCTACTTAATTCATCCATATTTGTCTTTATCATTACCATTATCAATTGTCGCCACCAAACATCGCCCGTGATTTTTGTAGCCATTTTTCTAGTGATTTTTCGATGTCGGCAATGGTTCGACAATAATCTAGCGGGGATAAAGATGGAATAAATTTTTTTTTCAAAACAAATAATTTGTTATTTTCATCAAACCATTTCATTATTCATAATATTTTCTTTATAAAGGATCAATAGTTGGGCCTAACGCCATATTCTCCATAGAAATCCACTCAACATCAATTATTTCAATTTTAAAAATAATCTTTTGTATTTATTTTTATCAAACTATTTTTTAATATTAAAAATGATTTTTAATAGCAAGGCATAACAGAACAATGATTTGGATACTTCTCATATTGAGATTTTAATAGAAGAGAAGTTGAGAAGTTTATAGGGTTTATCGTGGGTCCCGTTTTAATGATCTGAATTGTTTATTTTGTAAAATTTTTACTGTATATTATCTATAAAAAAATAAAAAAAATTATCAAAAAGTCCCATATAGGAATCAGTTATCCCAAATAGTCCCGTAAATATTCTAATACACTGATGGGTCCTCTTTGTTTTGACAAACTTACCATGAGATCTTATTTTAAATTTTGATATGATTTGATGGACGTTTCTACCCTTCCTTATTGGGGGATGCCATTTTAAATTAATAATTATATATATATATATATAATTAGTTTGATTTATATATAAAAAAAATATTATGTAAATTAGTATTATATATTATGCAAGCCGTTCAAGTTGTAGTTTGCCAAACCATAATTTGCCAACCTCTCATTTAATTTATAATTTTACTCTGAAGAGGTACGAATTGCATCGCCGACACCCTAGTCACGTGATGCCCGCGAATCAGGAAATAATTTTTTCTTTTAACAATCCCCATTGGCGGGGTACCCCAGATAAGATATTTTGGGCTATTTTAGGAAGTTGGTTTTTAGTCATTTTTTTTGGTTGGTAACAAAAGTCAAAAGTTGACTTTTTTGTCCTTTTTTTTTTCATTTGAGAAGTTGGTTTTTAGCCAACGGTGAAATTACAATTTTACCTTCATGGGTCAAAATGTGTTACATAAGTGAAATTGTAAATATTTTAAATAAATGGGGATAGTTTGGTAATTTTATTATGATTTGACATCATAAATAAATATAAATAAAAAAAATCAAAAATCACTTTTTACTAACTTCCCAAATTATTTGTCTAAAAAAATCAAAAATTTAATTAAAAACCAAAAAATTACTTTTTACCATCTTCTCAAAATAAGCCTTTATTAAAACCATCGGCTCACTAAAAACAGCTTGCGCCCGCACCGTCCATGCTGACAGGAGATAGAGAGAGGGAGAGAATTCTAGAGAGAGAAAGAAAGAGGCGAAAACCAAACCATACAAAAACATATAAAACTTGTGGCGGTGTCTCCGTTAGTTTTTATTAATACTACTATTCCTTATTCCTGATTCCTGATTCCTGATTCCTGATTCCTCCTCTTCTCCAAGTAAAACAACTAACTATGATTCAAATGAACAAGATATACATTCACACGCACACTAAGCTATATATACATTCAGATTGGTGTCGGTGTCTAACTTTCATCATTTTACTTGCCTACTAATCCATCTTCAAGAATTTCAAGATCATCACAAAATTTCTATTTCTTGTGTTCTTTGTATATGATCATCATCTTTCTTTGATCTAGTTTTTGCAAGCTTGGACTTTGTAAAAATGTGGTGTTTCTTTTTCTGGTAAGCATAGGATTGATTTTCTTTTCTCCATATTGGTTTGGAAAAAATATTCTCATTCCTCGTATTCTTACCTTTTTCTTTTTCTTTCAACGTCAAGAAATTCGAATTCAATTCTACCTAGAATTTGCTTTACATTTCCTTGTTCCATTGCAATTCATACCTGGGTTGTCCTTTCTTGATCCATAAATTTGTAAACTTCAAACACTTTTGTGATCAATTCACCATATAGTTTAAGCAAGTTTTCATTGATTTTCTCTCTTGAATTGTTTGTTATGGAGGCTTCTAGTACTGCTAATCAATGTCGGTTGTTCTCTCCTCCTATGAAAACTGCTGACGAGCATGTAAATAGTAATAGAGAGTTAGTTTCTAACAAGATTACAACACATGAGTTTGATAACCAGTTTCAGGATTCGGGTACCGAAGATTCGGTCTCAGGAACCGATGATGATGATGATGATGATGGTAATGATCAAGAAGACACATCAATTTCCGACTGTGAAAGTGGGATTTCAGGACCCAACACTGATCAATCTCAATTGTCTGTTAATGGGTTGATCAAATTGGATGAAGAAGATAGGCTGCACGAGATTATCAAGCGACGATTCATATCGGGTTTGGTTTCTCTTGGATTGGATACTTCTGTAGTTTCCATTCACAGAAATTCTTGTTCTAGCTTCACAGGACAAGCCCGGCTTCAATCGTTTCATATTTTCGCACGAGCAATTTCAAAGAAGTGTGGTGGTAATGCAAATTTGAAGTATGCTTGGTATGGTGCTTCTAGGGATGAGATTGAGAAGATTGTTTCTCATGGTTTTGGTCATTGTGGGGATGCTGAGAACAAGGGATGGTTTGGCCGTGGCATCTATCTATCTCCTGATGATTCCCCTATTGATAGGTAAGCAACAATACAATGCCTTAATTTTTTGCATATATATATTACTAATTTACTAGTAGTCTCTATCATGTGTAATTTTTAAAATTTGTGTTTAACAGTGTGAAATCTTCAATTGTTGATAATGCTGGGTTAAAGCATGTGTTGCTTTGCCGGGTTATCCTGGGGAATATGGAGGTTGTTCAGCCTGGGTCTGAACAGTGTTATCCGAGTTCAGAAGAGTTTGATTCTGGTGTTGACAATCTTGTAACTCCTAAGAAGTATATAGTTTGGAGTACCCACATGAATACCCATATCTTGCCAGAGTACATTATAAGTTTCAGAGCTCCTCCTTGCTCAAAAGGTACCAAATTGATCACATATTTATCTTGTTTTGAATGGTGGATCAGAAATTTGGAACATTTCAATCAATTTGGTTTGTGTTTTCGGTTGATTAGGCGAGCGAAGAATTCAAGCTCCACTGAGGAAACCCAATTCACCTTGGATGCCATTTTGTACTCTAATCTCAGTGCTTTCAAAGTTCTTACCTCCTCAAACCGTTAGTCTGATTTCCAAGTACCACACTGATCATAGAGTAAGTATTGATCACTTGCATTTGTGGAAGCATGTTTGAATACCTTACTTATGTTTCCTTTTTCCATAACCTCTTTTGGTATTTTTATTTTCCAGGAAAATAAGATCTCGCGGCATGAATTGATACGGCTAGTGAGAGAGATGGTAGGAGACAAGTTGTTGACTGCAGTCATAAAATCTTATAGGGACAAGGTAATAGCTTCCTCCAATGAAATTGATGTTTTTATCAATGTAATGGTTGTCTCTTTTGATGAATTTGAATCATATATGATATCACTTTTAATGCCTCACATTGTTAGTTTGTTTTCTTCTTCCTCCCCAGGGGGCTAATTACTGTGGGTGTGTTTGCTATTATATAAGCATTTTTAACCCATAGTTTTATGAACCATTTCACAAATTCCTCTGTATATTGAACTAAATCTTAAAAAGGGACACTAGGGGGATTATATATATTCAAGTTCTTTGGGGTTCTTTTAATTGTCATTTCAACTATATTCAACCATTTCACAATTTATTCATTCAACTGTATTCAGTTTGATGCATTTCCCAGTGTCTGGCTCTTGTTTAAGTTTCCCAGAAGTGGGGAAAAAAAATAAAAAAAAATAAAAAAATGCACATAAACAAACTCTTGAGAATCATAATATGCTTCTTGCCACTGGTTAATTGGTGGAGCATCATTGGTTTCGATATTCTTTAAGCTTGCAGTGAGTTTTTTGATCATTCCATTTTTCACCTTCTATTTTTTTTTTTCCCCTTCTTTGTGCCTTTTTGTTTGATTCTGTTTTTCTGTTATTCATATCCACCTGTTATGTGGTGTCCATAGACTTAGAAATGTGAATTTGATGTTGCAGCAACTTAAAGCATCAACAGACTTTTCGACAACCAACAGCTCAAGCAAGTCTCACCGAAGAAACTCAGAATTCAAGCAGAGTTGATGAGTTGATCTTTTGCTGAAAGTATTCTGCTGCAAGTTGCTATGTCGAATATGAGCACAAAAGCAGTTTTCATCGACAAATCGGCATATCCATACATATCACAAAAATTTCAGTGATGAAGTGGCAGTAATATGAAATTGGCATATTCTCTTAAGCTAATTTGAAAGAAGACAATGGTGAGCAATATGAACCAGCAGATGGCAAAGTGGGCTTGCTTATGTTTCTGGTAGTAGCTTATGCTTGTATAGACTTGGGGAGTAGCACTTCTTTTTTTTCATTTTTCTTTTTTTGTTGCAATATTATCAGCAATTTTGTGATCAATTAATAAAATCCTTTTTCCATTGATCGAGTTCTTCAATGTTTCTATTTCTCAAGGAGCAAACTTCATTGTGAGAACAGACAATCCTTCTTTGCATATCAATAGGGAAATTAATTGCAAACCAGTGCAAGTGAGACTTATGGGATGACGCAGTGTAGAGCATGAACAACAACAAAATTGCACAGCAAAGGTAGTTGCAACTCTTCTACAACCTGTTGAATCCAAAGATTACTAGAAATATAGGAAAGAGGAGAATTCTCCCCGCAAGTGTTATAATATGTCAAAAACCATTTTGGCCTAAGGCTTACAAGTTTATTTATAATAGGGCAAATTTCACTTTACTCCCCGTAGTTTGGGTCATGTGCAGATTACCCTCTATAATTTGGAATTAACTACATAACTCCCACGTAGTTTGTGAATTAAAACGCATAGTTAGTATTTCCATCCAAACAACAGACTATGAGGGCCACTCTCGTCTGTAGAGAGTAAGGCCTCGTTGGCAATATCACTTTTTAGTCTATTAGGTCCCTTAGTTTTGTCAATCCCATGAACAAACTTTGTTTATTGAGTTGTATGTTTCCTGGTTGTTTTGTCTTGCTCACTCGAGCGAAGAAGTCCTAGCTCGTGCTCTTAGATGTTGTCTTTGTCTGCAAATATTTTGGAAATGAAGATTGCGCGCTCGAGCGAAGGAAACTTGGCTCGAGCGACGCCACTTAAGAAATACACGCGTAATTGTTCCTCACTCGAGCGAGTGAGTGACTCTTCGCTCAAACGACCTTCACGGCCTCTATTTTCTATATATATGTGTGTGTGTGTGTGTGTGTGTGTGTGTGTGTGTTTCAGTCTATTTTAGGGTTAACTTTTCTAGATCTGTTTTGAGGGCTCTAGTGTTTTCTTTTGGGGCTATTTTACTAGTTTTCCATTGATGTATGCTTGAGTATTAAACTCACATGGTTTGACAATTCACATCAAATGGTTGTTTGAGTGATCATCTTCAAGAGTGTTATTCTTCGGTGGAATCCAGAGATTCAAAGGTGGAGTGCTCGAAGGTGTTCAAAACTGTGCGTAGTCGTTGAGTTGACATGGATGTTGTGGAATCAACATCAATCTAATCAATTTTGAGACGAAGGTTGCGATGGAAGAGATACAAATCGTTGAAGACAAATTGACGGAGTTTGGGTAATTTATTTGGTTGTTTTGTATTCTTTCTTTCCTTCATAGTGGATTGATTTGTAGCGTTTCGCCCGTGGTTTTTTAATCACAATTGGAGGTGCTCTAATTGTGATTTTTTCATGTAAAAATCATTTGTGTTGGTTTATTATTTTGAAACAACAATCTAAATCACTTTCGTACGTGCTTGATGATTTAAATTGTTAGGTTTAATTGTTTGGGAACTGGTATAATTAATCTTGAGCCAAATCACGAATTACTTAGGTTTTTCAATTGATATCAGAGCAGGTCACTCTTTGTTTTTATCAAAACTATAAGAGTGTGATTTTGTGTGATTGGTGATATGGATTCAATTCGTGAAGGTAACTTGACCCATAGACCTTCGCTACTTGTTGGTACAAACTATTCTTAATGGAAAGCTCGTATGAGAGCGTTTTTAAAATCTATCAATGAGAAAGTTTGGCATTATGTGATCTATGAGTGGAGTGAACCTATTGTCACCATTGATGGTGTTGATATTTCCAAACATCTTGATAAATGGGACGTATTCGATTATCAAAATTTGAGTTAGAATAGTAAGGCTCTCAATTCCTTCTTTTGCTCCATCACACCTGAAGAGTTTCGTCGTATTTGCACTTGTGAGATAGCAAAAGAGGCTTGGGATATTCTTGAAACTATTCATGAGGGTACTACTTCTGTTAAAATGTCAAAACTTCAACGTCTCACATCTTCTTTTGAAACTCTTTTTATGCGTGATGATGAGATGTATGATGATTTTTATGCTAAATTTAATGACATTGTGCATTCTTGTTTCACACTCGGTAAAAAAATCCCTGAAGCTAAGATTGATGGAAAAATCTTAAGTTCTTTACCCGAGAGGTTCCAATCAAAAGTAACAGTTATTGAGGAGGCTCAGGATGTTGATACCCTCAAGTTTGATCAGTTGGTTGGAAACTTGCAAACTTATGAAGCCCACCAGATTTCTAAGAAAAAATAAAAAGATAGTGTGGCTTTTACTAGTACTCATGAGACTGCTAGGACCCCTGAGATTGAGTTTGATTTAGAGTCCGAAACGACGACTATGTTTACCAAACAGTTCAAAAAAAAATTTAAAGAAAAAGAAGCATAATTTCAAGGATCCTAGTTCAAAAGATAAGAGGAATGAAAAACTCAGAACTTTTCCACCAAAAATTGCTCCAAAAACTAAAAAAAAGAGATTATGAAGGGGCAAGGTGTCAAGTGTTACGAATGTCAAGGGTTTGGACATATTTCTCTTGAATGTCCATTGAAAAAGAACTGGAAGAAAGTCTATACAATGACTTGGGAAGATGAAAACGGGTCAGAGCAAGAACCCGAAGAAACCGAATCCAGTGAAGACAGAGATAGTACTTTACATGGCATTCTGGTCTACTATCACTCAATCTCCTCCAAAGCTAGTGGAATTTGCTCGTGGTCAGAACCTGCAATGTGCTCCTACCTTTAATGGAAGTAATTACTTGTTCTGAAATATCAGAATGAGGATGTTTCTGAGAGCTCACAACCCTGAGGGCTGGCAAGCTATTGAAGAGAATGTTAAAAGCATTGACAATCCGAGTAATCAAAGAGTTTTGACTACTATTCGTGAAGCAATTTTTGACGAAGAACAACAACGGATTGCTCGCTGCACAAAGGTCAAAAATACATGGGACATTATGAGTCAATTTCATGAAAGAGGAGAGTCATCTTCACCACCGTCTATCAACTTTCTTGCCTTAGTTGCTCGACTGGATAAGGTCTAGGAGAAAGAGGAGCAAAAAGAAGATGATGAAACCTCAGAAGACAATGATGAGATTAATAGTGATGACCTACAACAAGCTTATGAAAAGCTTTACGATGAATCTTTGAATTTGTCTAAGATCAATGACAAACTCACTCCTAAGCTCAAAGCATGTGAAAGCGAGAATGTCAAGCTAAAAGGAGAAATTGCAACGGCAAAGTAGAATGTCATCAAGATCTCTAATGACAGGCAAAAGCTATGTGGAAAACTTCTATCTTGTGAGACTAAAAAGAATGAACTTTTGAAAATACATGCCACATATGAAGAGAAGATTAAAAACCTTGAGATGTCACAATCTACATTGGAAGAGATGGTTGGTCAAAAAGATGAAGAACTAAGAGATGCTAGAACCACAATTGCCATGTGGAACAAAGGTTCAAAGACATTAGAAGACATCCTTAGGTCTCACCAAATGGGTTGTGAAAAAAGTGGGCTAGGCTATGGTAATGCGACAGTTCACAAGGGACAAGCCTTTACATCACATAACATCAAGACTCAAACAAAGGGAAAGTTGAAGGTACAACAGGGTGATCCCTCTCTTCATCTGCCTAACAGGGGTAAGATCAACAAAAGGGGGGTAAAACCTATTTTTATTTGTTATCATTATGGTAGGTATGGCCACATTCATCCTTATTGCTTTAAGTTGTTTGGTAAGGTGTCTCAAAAGGGTAAAAATTCTAATACTATTTGGGTTAGGAGACAACCTTACATGTCTAGGCAGAACACCAAAATTCATGAGGCTGTTCACAATGCTAAGACATTTACCAAGAATGTCAGTCCTGATTTTACTAAGACTAAAAAGATACACTTGACTTGTTTTGTTGTTCATACTGCTCTAAAAGCACGTGACTCACACATGTGGTATCTTGATAGTGGGTGCTCTCATCATATGTCTGGTAACAAATTCTATTTCATTTCTCTTGAAAAATATGAAGGAGGAATTATTACTTTTGGAAATGGTGGCACTTCTAGAGTCATTGGTAAAGGCTCTATAAGTGTGGCTAGTCTTCTCAAACTCGAAAATGCATTACTTGTAAATGGCTTTAGAGCAAATCTTTTGAGTATTAGTCAAATGTGTGATTCCCACCATGAAGTATTATTTTCAAAAAACAAATGTGAAATTTTAGATAAGAAGGGAAATACTGTCATGCATGGGGTTCGCACATCTGATAACTGCTATGGGATTGTTACCACTAATGATCTCACTTGCCACTCAGCCATCATAAGTAATATTGATCTGTAGCATCAAAGATTAGGTCACATGAATTTCAAAGACCTAACTAAGATAGCCACCAAAAAACTTGCGAAAGGAGTACTTAAAATAGGTAAGAATGTAAACCATGTGGTGGACCATGTCAACTTGGGAAGCAAACCCGTGCTTCTTATAAAAAAGTGAACATTCATAACCAAACATTCTTTTGAACTGGTTCATATGGATCTTATGGGGATCCACTCGCACTGAAAGTATTGGAGGTAAAAGATACATTTTTTTAACCGTTGATGATTATACTCGTTTTTTATGGGTAAATTTTTTAAGAGAAAAATCTGATACATTTGATGCTTTCCAGGGCTTAGTCCTTAAAATCCAAAATGAACAGGGTGTTTCTCTTGGGTGTATTATAAGAATCCGAACTAATCATGGTCCTGAGTTTGAAAATAGTTCATTTTCGAATTTTTGTGATATGCATGGGATTAAGCATGAATTTTTTTGCATCGATTACTCCACAACAAAATGGAGTTATTGAGAGGAAGAACATGGTTGTTCAAGAGATGGCTAGGGTCATGCTCCTAAATAAGAAAGCTCCTCCAAAATTTTGGGCTCAAGCCTTAAATACTGCTGTTTATGTTGTGAATCGTGTGTACTTAAGGCCCAGTACTTTACAAACTCCATATGAATTATGTATGGGGATTGAAACCTAATGTAAAATACTTCAAAACTTTTGGGAGTAAATGTCACACTTTTAAAGACAGAGATCCTTTGGGAAAATTTGATTCCCGAAGTGATGAAGGTATTTTTCTAGGATATTCAACCACTAGTAGAGCTTTTCGTGTCTATAACTTGCAAACTTTATCTTTAATGGAATCGATCAATGCGGTTATAGATAACATAGGTTCTCCCACTTCAGCGACAAATAAGGAAGAAAATGGTGAGTCTCCAATCCTGGATACTGAACCACAAAGTCAAGGAGAAGCTGAGGTCCAAGCTCAAGAAGGTGAGGCTGCACCAATTTCTAAGGTAAGTCCGAGTCCAACACAAAGAGACACCACTTCTGATGCTCCTGTCACTACAAGTCCAGAATTCAAGCCATCAGCAAGGGTGAAACTGAATCATCCTACTCAACAGGTGATTGAAAGTGTCTCAGATCGAATAAAAACCCGAAGACAAATTCGGGAAGAGGTATCTCATACGTGTTATGTTTCATTAATTGAACCTAAGAATATAAAAGGGGCCTTACTATATGATAGTTGGGTTAATGCTATGCATGAATAGTTAAGTCAATTCGAACGTAACAAAGGTTGGACTTTTATTCCCAAACCTAGAGACATGAATGTGATAGGTATCAAGTGGATCTTTAAAAATAAATCTGATGAGAATGGATACTTGAAAGAAGAGGCTTATGTTGAGCAACTAAAAAAGTTTGAGGACACAAAATGTCCAAACCATGTTTACAAGTTAAACAAGGCTTTGTATGGGTTGAAACAAGTCCCTTGGGTTTGGTATGATAGACTTACAACCTTTCTTCTTAATAATGATTTTCAAAGGGGTAGAGTGGTTAGACTTTATTTGTGAAACATACTAAATCTCATATACTTGTTGCTCAGATTTATGTTAATGATATTGTGTTTGGATCCACTGCTAATTATCTTGTGAAATATTTTTCGGATTGCATGACACATGAGTTTGAGATGAGTATGATGGGAGAGTTTTCTTATTTCTTAGGTCTTCAAATTAAACAGTCTCCTTCGGGTATGTTTGTTTCTCAAACTAGGTATGCCAAAAACCTTGTGTCAAAGTTCGGTCTAGAGTCGTCCAAACATGCTCGTACTTCCATGAGTACAAGTTTTCATCTTTCCAAAGATTCATCTGGTATTGATGTTGATTCTACCCTTTATAGGAGTATGATAGGGAGTCTTCTTTACCTCACAGCTAGTTGACCTGACATTGCATTTAGTATAGGTGTCTGTGCCCGTTACCAAGCCAGTCCTAAAGAGTTTCATCTTCTTGCGGTCAAATGCATCATTAAGTATGTTAATGGGACACTGGGGTTTCGGGGCTTAGTTTTCTATCGACACTACAACCGAAATTACTGGTTTTTCTGGTGCCAACTGGGTAGGGTGTGTTGATGATAGGAAGAGTACATCTAGGGGGCGTTTTTACCTTGAGAATAATCTGGTTGCATGGCATAGCAAAAAGCAAAATGCTATTTCTCTCTTAACCGCTGAGGCCGAGTACATTGTTGCAGGAAGTTGTTAAGCACAAATGTTATGAATGAAACAAATGCTTCGTGATTATGGTATAAACCAGGACACTCTCACCCTTTTCTGTGATAACACAAGTGTCATTAACATTTCTAAAAATCCTGTCCAACATTCTTACATCGAACACATTGAAATTCGTCATCATTTTATTCGAGAGTTAGTGGAAGAGGGGCTTGTTGTTCTTGAACATGTACCCACTGAGCATCAAAAAGCTGATATTTTTACAATACCCCTTGATCTTCTTAGGTTTGATTTCCTTTGAAAGACCTTGGGTGTTGTGCTTAGTCACTAGGGTGTGACCTGTTACTTGAGTGGGTGAGCGTGATTGGCTTTATGTTTACTTGGATGCTATAATCTCATTGTCATTGAATCCTGTAATCTCTGCATTTGCACTCATATGAACTCCTCTCATGCTGCTTGCAAGATTTCATTCATCTTTGTTCTTAGCTCATTCTAAATGCTTATGCTCATTGACTTCATGATCTCATTCTCTGCACATCCTTGAGATAAACTGTTGTAGGGGTTTCCGCACAAGTGATCAAAGTTCTCTATGGACCACTAATAGTGTTTCTTTTACATTATTGGTGGAATTGACCTATACTGGCATATCATGGGTGATATTGAGTTTCTTAACCATCTACCATCGTTTTTTCACTTCTACGGTTCCTCCCTCAATTCATTGAAGCCCAGGCATTAGGAAAATGCTACCTCAGAGGCACCAACTAGGCCATCCTTACTACTTTCATGCCTCTTTGGTTTGGTCTCCATACTCTTGAGCGTGCATGGCACCAGTGAGTGCCCACAAGTAAGAAAAGTCAAAAATTAAATATAAAAAAAAAAGACTCATTGATTGAGGAGGAGCCTCCGCTTTTACTCAACAAATACCCCTTGATTTCTAGTGGTTTGACTTTTATCAGTAATGTTTAGCAACTTTTGTCGAAGGTCTAGCCATCTGATCACTACAAGGATTAACTCTAACTCTGTGGCCTTTCAAGGATTGCGCGCGTGCACACACACACACACACATTCATTATGTGAGCTCTCAAGTTTGTATTTGAGTTATGCATTCTCATGTAGCTTATGCTCATTGATCAATATTTATCTGATTTGCTCATGATATTGTGCTTCATGTTGTCAATATTACAAGTTTGTGGGCTTCATGGTTTGTGGATTATCTCATCTTAGTCTCACATTCTTATTATTGACGTCACTTCTTTTTTGTTTCAAGTCTCACTTGATAGTGTAAGTGTTTTGTTTTTTGCTCAGAAAGGTGTTTTTCAGGTGTTTTTGTTTTTTCTTCTTTGCTCGAGCTAGGGAGTTTGTGCTCGAGCGAGCATTACTTCAACCCAGTACCTTTGCAGATGGCACAGATTCTGAGAGCTTGTTTCTTGGGCTCGAGCGACAATGTCTTGGCTCGAGCAACCCAAATACATGTAAGTGTCTTTGCTCGAACGACAAAATTCTCGCTGGAGCGACCTGTTAAGGTTTAAATTGTTTCTTCCGCATTTTCAGTCATATTTTCCCCCATTTGCTTCGATTGCTCTCTCTCTCTTTCTCTCTTTCTCTCTCTCCTAGGGCGATTTCGCCTCCATTGCTATTCGTCGCTTGGATTCTCCTAGGCAGGGTGTTTATCTCCTCCATCCGCTTCTCCTCTTGAGGTTTTGGTAAGATTTCTCTCTCCTTGTGGGTTGTGTTTTTTTTTTTCCCTCTCTCTCCTTGTGAGTGCTGCTTCGTTTGTCTTTTTGGAGTTTTAGTGTTTTTTTTTTCCTACTTCTATTTTGTGTGTAAGTCGTGCTTGCTATCTAGGGTTTTTGCTTTCTTCTGACCTATGTGATTGTTAGGGTTTTAATTTTAGGGCTTTAATTTTGCTTTATTCTTGGTTTGCAATATATACTCTTGTTAATTTGCTGCTTTCTAATGGCTATTGCCTGGATGTTTGTTGGGTTTCCTCAACCTATTACTGTTGCATTTTTTTTTTTGGGAGTGATTTTTACACTTGACCTAATACTGCATCTCTATTGTCCTTGCTATTCCAGAAATTGAAATAATGCTGATGTTCTATTTTGTGAATTTTGGCTGCTTTAACTCTGTTGGACTAATGCTTTGTGTTATGCTCTTATGTTTGTTTTGGGGGGTTGCTAATGGGCTTTGGGTGTTCCTTGGCTCTATCTTGGTGGGTTGGGGTTTTGTGGTGGTCTTTTCTTATTGTCGGTCAGTCATGGCTGTTCTCTAAATACTGTAAAACCACCGTGTCTCGGCCCAATTTCAATACCGAAAAATTCCAATCCAAGGAAAAATCCAACCTTTATCGGGATTTCTATGTTTCTAGGCAAGTTCACTTATAATGCAATGTCCACCTTAGTGCCTTTGAGTCTATTCCGATCCGGTCTCTGTTTGATGCTTTAGGGGGTGACCAGGTCCTGCTTTTCTCTAGTCCACAAAATCTTGGCTGGGTTTGGGAATTCTATTGCAATATGCACTCAATTTGCAAGGAAATAGCCCCATCTTTTCACACTTGGATTCGTAACAAAGCCCTGGTCATTGATGACGAAGTCATTAGGCGGTTTCTTAATCTTCCGGAAGTCCGAAACTGTCACTACAACAAAAAAGGTCTATGGTGACGAAAATGCATGATGAAAAAATATTTCGTCTCCAAATATACATGTTTTAGTGATGAAAATAAGATTTCATCTCCAATCGTACTATTTTTAGAGACGAAAACAAAATTTCGTCACTAAATGCTTAAAATAAATAAAATAATAAGTGACAAAAAATTTTTCATCTCTAAATTTTATTTTTCGTCACAAAACAAATTCCCGCCTTAAGAAATTTTGGTGGAAAATTTGGGCGCCATATTAGAGACGAAAATTTTTGTCATCATTGTAAAAATTTTCAAAGAGAAATATAATTGGAAAATGCCTCGTAGCTCGACTTTTAGAGGCTCGAAATGGCTCGAAATGGAGAAAGAGGGAGAGAAGAGAGGAAATAGAGGAGAAAGAGGGAGAGAAGAGAGGAGGAAGGGAAGAAGCAGAGCCTCGCCAAAAAAAGGTCTATGGTGACGAAAATACATGATGAAAAAATATTTCGTCTCCAAATATACATGTTTTAGTGATGAAAATAAGATTTCATCTCCAATCGTACTATTTTTAGGGACAAAAACAAAATTTCATCACTAAATGCTTAAAATAAATAAAATAATAAGGTCAAATTACTTTTCATCTCTAAATTTTAATTTTCGTTACAAAACAAATTCCCGCCTTAAGAAATTTTGGTGGAGGCGCCAAATTACTCTACCCAAATCACTTCTCTTTCGCACTCTTTCTCTCACTCTCTCACCCAGTCTCGTCTCTCTCTCTCTCTCTCTCTCTCTCTCTCTCTCTGGTCTGAGCTCGTGAAACCCTCTTGCCGATGTCTTCCTTGCTTTCTCACATGCACACGAGCACTGCCGGAAACCCTCTCTCTCCGTTCGAATCGCACCACCGAAAGCCCTTTCTCTCCGTTCGAATTGCACCACCAGAAGCCCTCTTCTCTGTTCGTTTTGCTTCACTGATGCGGTACCACCGACACCCTCTGGCCTTTCCTCCCCCACCCCCACCAGCTTCGGTTGACTCAACACCACAACTCTCTCTTTTCAATCCAACCAAAATCTCTCTGATCTCTCCATCGATATGTTTCAGGTAATTCAATCTTCTTCTTTACCCCCTTAATTTCTCAATTTCTTCGTTTTTTCCCCCCCTTGAATCAGATCATTCGTGGAGCTGCATAACCCCACTCAAAATTGGGATTTTTTTTCTTTAGATATATATATTTATGCAAAAGTTTAGGAGTTTTAGAAATTTAAGGCAGTGGAATAATTAGAAAAATTAAAATTGCAATTTTTTTTTTTTTTGTGTGATTGAATCTTGGATTTGGAGAGTGATTTGTGGAGGGAAAATGAAAGTAAGTGGAAAAATGAATGAAAGATAAGATTAAAATAAAATGAGCCGATTGTATGAACAGTGTCTACAATTAAAAATTAAAACTTGGAGCTTTGTTGAGTTGTTGGTGGTGCTTTTTTTTCCCCCCCTTAATTATTACATAAACTATAATAATAGTTTGATTTTTAAATTTGACTTTGATAAAAGGAAAACCTCAATTGTAGTCGTCTGGTTATGTGATGTATATGAGGCAACTAGTAGATTTAATTATTGTTCATTGTTTAGATTTCAGATTCGAATTGATGTCGGTACTACTTTCGTTCTTTCTTTTGCCATTCAAGGTGAATCGCAATCCTTCATTTTCATACATGCAAATATGTCCTGTTTATTTTCTTTTTTCCATTTTGTATAAGAATTTCAAGTGGGCCTTACAATGTTGGGTGGTTACTCCAACGTTATGTAACATGTGTATGTGGTGTATTTGTTATGACAAAGATGAGTGTGACTTTCAAAGGCCATCTGGATTGTATTTCAGGATTAACTGTTGGAGGTATGGATTTGACTTGGTGCTTTTAGACTTCATTTATGGTGCCATGAAACCATCTTAATTAAATCCCTTTTCATTTCTCTTGTAGGTGGTTTCCTTTTTAGTTCCTCCTTTGATAAAACAGTCCATGTATGGTCTCTGCAGGTACATACCTTACAGTGAACATTTGTTGAATTTGTTCGTTAATCCAACTAGCATCAAATTATTGCTTAATGGTTTTATATTCTTTGTGGCACACCCTTTTGTAAATAATGTAGAACCATTTCAAGCTTATCAAAAAGTACTTTTTCGGCGCTCCTCTTGTTAACAAAATCTATGCTAAATACATGAGTGTAGCACCCAGAAAATTTTCTTGCAAACTTCTGTTACAAAATATTCTGACAAAGTATTAAAAAAATCTAACTAAAATAAAATCCTACTAAAAAAGTAAACGCAGTTTACTTCCCATTTAATGAGGCTCTAGGAGGGGTAGATTGGGTGCAGGTTCAACCACAACCTCAAGGTTAGTAGGCCAAGTTTAAACCATTGAAACTAATATATTGGAAGTAAAAAAGTTCAATTATAAATTTGAAAAACCTTTTAAGTTTCAAAATTTGATTACTTGTAGCATGGGTCAAGTTTTGCAAATCACTATTAATTAAATCATAAATATGATGGAATGAATGACTTATTTTCATTTTGCAGTCTTGTAGTTTCCTATTTAAATATCCTTTTATAGTGAGATTCATTAGTGGATCTACCCGTTGTAGGATTTTATTCACTTGCATACATTTATGGGTCATGAGCATAAAATTACGGCTATAGTTTTCACATATGAAGAATAACCATTGTGCATAAGTGGTGATAGTTGAGTTGGCATTTACATCTGGGGTATTACTGATCCATTTGGTCAAGAACCAATAAAGAAATTGTTTGAGCAAAAAGATTGGCGCTATAGTGGTATTCATGCCCTTGCCATTTCTGGAACTGGATACCTATATACTGGTAGTGGAGATAAGTCAATAAAGGCATGGTCCTTGCAGGTAATGGGCTTATACTCATTTTGTGACCACTCTGGTTACACAGTAATTTTATTGCTTTGGAATCTAAAAATTGAGGTTTTGTTTAATTTTTATTCAGGATTACTCTCTGCCCTATACTATGAATGGGCATAAGTCAGTTGTCTCTACTCTAGCAGTTTGTAATGGGGTTCTTTATAGTGGAAGTTGGGATGGAACTGTCCGGTTATGGTGTCTTAGTGATCACAGTCCTTTGACAGTATTGGGGGAGGATGTACCTGGAAATGTGACCTTTGTTTTGTCTCTTGGTACTTATGGGGATGCTCTTGTTGTGGCTCATGAGAATGGGTGTATGAAGGTTATGTATTATTTAAACCCTACTTAACTTGGTTATATTTGGTCATATTTCTATAAGCACTAGTTGGAAGTTGGAACTGCTAGGGGAATATAGTGACACAACATCAGTCACATCACCTAATGTCCCTCAACTCAAGTTATTCATGTTGCATAGTCACCAAAAGTTACCAATAAAAGTAGCTATGATACCATGCAAGAACTATAAGTCTCAAAATGTGTGAATTGGTTTGTAAAATAACTTGGAATTTTAATTCTTATGTTTGGAGTATTTGGACTAAAACTCTGACTAATTTTTCTAGTTAAGGCCATCACTGGATTGGCATCATACCAGTGCACTACAAAATGATAAAGAGTTACTACTTAAATTTAGTACCACGCAATCATTTTCTTTCCTCTTTGTTCTTTCAGATTTGGAGAAATGTTGTGCTTCTGAAATCCAAACAAGTTCACACCTCTCATCAGCTAAAGAGTATCATCGGAAGCATAGAGTTTGTGAGAGTCATTCGAAATGCGCAAAGGTGGTTGTATGTGGTCTAGAACGTCGGTTTTGCAAACAATGTAGCAGGTAAACTTTGTATGACAATGTACAAAAACCTGAACCCAGGACTGCTTTTTTTTTGAATTGATTGCGTTGTTGATGCTAACCTAGATAAGAAACTATGCTATGAACCATTGGAACTTCCAAGAAGTTTTTTTATTGAATTTGATACTTCTCTCTCTTTTTTTGATGAATAAATGTGATGATCTTCTCAAAGTAATATTTATATTCTTTTGTTTAATGTTTTCTCTAATTTATATAATGTGGAATTTGGATAATCTGCATTTTGTTGAAGGCTCGTGAGGTTGCCTACTGATTTTCAGGAACTATTAGGGGATGAGTTTGGAATAGATGCCATGAGCCTTGGATCTATTGCCTGTGATTCTGTTGGACGAGCTGATAGAGTAATTAAGGTATGCTAGATCTTTTTCACTTTGATTTTGATTTTTAGTTTTAGTTTTGTTTTCCTAGGAGATTTCTCTGAGTTTTCTTGACAAATATCGATACAAATGCTATGATTTTAGTGACTAAAAGATTAAAAAAACAATAGCTTTGTGTCCCTGTGAAACACCGCATCCTTTAAAGCATGCATCAATTTTAGCGAAATGAAAATTCATCAAAAGTTTGATATGGATGTTCTAGATAATACAAGACCAAATCAGTGGGGCTTCACTTTTGCCCCTGTATACCAGTCATTTAGCTTCGGGTTTGGTAGCTGAAGTCTTGCAATATATTTGCATGATAGGCTCTCTTACTTACAAGTTAGTTTCATGTTATCTTGTGAAAATCTCTAATTTGGTTGTCTAGTCTAAAGGATATGAATTTATTTAATTTAATTGAGCATCTAGCCGTTGTTGTTATTGTTTATGTATGTGTCTTTTGTGCTAATGTAGTGTTTTTGCTTATGAAATTAGTTTATATGATTTTCATGATACACATCTAGCCGAATGGGGATTTACATGACAATGTGGAGACCCAACACCCACAGCCACTTGATGTCGATATGGAGGCACAGAGAGAGGCAGCACCCTAATCTAGTGTCGGTAAGATGCTAAATTTTACTATTAAAATGAAATTCTCTATTTTAATATAATGTGTACCTGTCACATTTACATATAGTGAGATTTGTTATTATACTTATATAATAATTATTGAGTAATATATCATGTATCCATAATCATGTCAAATCATCATTGTAAATTTTTTTTCCCTACTCAGCACAGCAAGTTAATATATATATATATATATATAATTTAGGTAAAAATAAAGTGGGTGGTGAATTCTCATCATTCATTGCGTTCATGCCAATAGTTACAAAATTATAATGGATGATTCATGTTTTTGTACTTCAAAATCTTCATTGACAGTGCCAGTGTAATTTTGTTTTAACTTTCCTGCCCCCGTAGTAGCCCAATGTTATTATAACTTTAATATTGGGATCTATCATGATTTTCTCGACTTTTTATGCTATTATAATTTTATGTCTATAGTTGTTAACAGGGTATTTTAGTCGCAAGGAAGCATATTGCTTCATAATAATGTACTTGGGTTGTCTGCTTTTCTTTTTTTTCTTTTCATGTAGCGTTGAAAGCTCTTTCATCTCAGTAGATTTTATTAAGATATTAAAGTTACCTATATTGGGGAGCTTTTTTTTTTAGGGTTGAGTGAACTTACCTCTAAATTCTCTAGAGTGTTTTCCTTTTATCTTGTTGTGAGTTGATGGGTTTTACCTTATGTATTGCTTTGGTTTTTGTTGAGGGTTGAGTGACAATAGACGTGGCTCCCCATTGGAACAAGCATGTGATTCCTAGTTTGAAAACTACTTTGAATTATGAATTTTTTCAACACTTAAGCTTGAAAATAGGCCATTGATGGACAAAATAGTGAAATATGAACAACAAGGCCCAGAAAAATATTACGAACACCTCGAGAGGAACCAATGTAAATTGTAAAAACTCATAGAACAAGCACAAGACTTCCAATTTAAAAACTACTTTGAAATTTGTAAATTTCCAACACTTAAGCATGAAAATAAGCCATCGATGGGCAAAATCGTTAAATAGGCACGAAAAGGTCTAGAAATTATCATGAACACCTTGGGAGGGATCAACATAAGTTGTGAAAACTTACAGAACAATCATAGGACTCTCAGTTGGAAAACATTTAGGCTTGAAAATACGCCATTAGGGAGTAAAATCCTAAAATAGTCATTAAAAGGCCCGGGAAACATCATGACCATGTTGGGAGGAACTAATGTAAGTTGTAAAAATTTACGGAACTAGCACGGTAAATTTTGGTTTGAAATTTACTTCGAAGTTTTCATTTTTTCTCTTTTAGGTTGCATGTTTACATGTTTTGTGAATGGTTACTTTAACCTTTTGTTGTTGTTGTTGTTGTTGGTTTTTTTTTTTATTATTTTAAATGGCAGATTAGAGATGAACAAATTTGGTAACCTGCATAGTAAGAGCTTTTTGTTGATATTACCAGACATGTATCCATCACAGTGCAGTTGTACTTGTTGTCGATATTATCAAACACGTATTTTGACTGTGTTGTCGTGAGTTATGATTATATTGTGATAGATCTTATCTTTTTGTTGATACTATCAAACATATATTTTGACTAGGTTGTTGCTTTATGCAAATGAACAGGTTTTTGTAATGATCTGTAATGGATATTATATTGAATAGGTTATTAAAATGCACAGGTTATTTTGATTGTGTTGTCGTGGCTTTGATTTTGCTAGAATAGATGTTATAGTTTGGATATTATATATTAATTTCTTGATACTATGAGACATGTATTATTGACGGAAAAAAAAATATATATTTGTCGCAAAAATTTTATAATCTCGACAAATAATTTCGTCACACATGTTGAGTATTTTGTTACTAAATTGAAATATTTCTTGACAAAAAAATTCGTCATTGAAGGGTCTTTTTTTTTTTTTTTGCATCTTTTGGTGACGAATATTTTTGTCTAAAAATTCTATCACTATTTTTAATGATAAAATATTTCGTCACCCAAAACAAATAGAATAAAATTTTATTTAATTCTAGTGACGAAATGAACGTTATAGGTGACAAAATATTTAACATTTAGCGACGAAATATTTCGTCACCAAATACCAATAATAGGCGACAAAATTTTTTTTTGTCACCAGGTACTTTTTGTGACGACCAATAGACAACGAACGTGGTGACGAAATTATTTCGTCACAGATCAATTTGGTGACGAAAATTTTAGTATTG